GGTCTTGAGTTCTTTAGATTGGTGGTTCTCAACTAGAACAATTTGCTACTGATTCTCCACTCTCCGTGAGCTCTGTTGGCATTAGTGGTTGCTCAGGCTGCGAACCACAAGGTTGGCAGGTTTCCAACCACATTTTGGGAGAAAGACAGGGCTTTCTCCTCCTGGAACAGTTACAGTCTCAGAAACGCAAAGGAGCAATTCTGTGCTGTCCTACAGAGTCATTATGAGTCAGCACTGACTCAATGGCGGTGAGTTGAGTCTCCCGCTTACCCTCCAGGGGACACGTGGCAGGTGCTACTAGACATCTAGTAGGTAGAGGATAAGATGTTGTTAACTATCTTAAGAGGCACAGAAAAGTCCCCGGGCATAAGAAATATTTGACCATATATGGCAATAGTGCTGACATTGAAAATCCCTACTTTAGTGAATATAATTTCTTCGTACAGTTTTCCTTTCTGTTATGATGTTTTGCATAATATCTACTTCAGTGTGTACCGAAATTTGTTGTTGTTAAAGTATAACCTCCTCGAGGGAAGTCAGCGCATATGTTTATCTATTTTTTCTAGTATTGAACACTCAGCAAATGAATGTTTAAGACAAGTACACGCATTATATCACTGGTAATTAAAAAGCTATTTAGTGGTAGCATAATTTAGCATTTTTAAATGACCTCATAAAATCAGGGAATATTTCATTTCTCATTTTGGTTGGAGTTGCTGGATCTCAAGCTTGGAAAAGAGCATAAGTGTAATCTAGTTCAGCTGCTCTTCTTTACCAAGGGACTTCTTTTGATTTCCTAAATACTGAATTGAAATTCAATTGCAATCGTCCTCAGGTGCCAGACTGTGAAATTGGTATTTCCTCATTTAGACATTATCAGAATATATGGCGGCCCTCCATGCATAGATATACACTGTGTGTATGAATTCATTAGGAATATTAATTTTTGGAAAAGTCACTAGATGATCTTTATAGTTCCTTTCAACCCTGAGAACCAGTAATTTATATTGCTAGCATTCCTAACATTTACTTACTAAAAGCAAGGCAGAAAAAATAGTGCTCCTTTTGCATTTATATTTGGTTTATAATTTTAGCTTGGAGGTATTTTGGCCTCCTCCATCTGATAAATTATGGCCCATTAATTATGTAACCTCAAAGACACATTTGATTTTTATTTAAAGACTAAAAACGTCTAATTACAATATTTCTGTTGATCTCTTGCAGTACTTTTTGCGGAGTATTGTGTCTTTGGGTGTGTATATGTGTTTCTCTTTTCAGTTAGTGTGCAGAGACCATAAGGACAAAAACCAATGGGTACTCCCTTCTAACAAATCCTTCCAAGTAGCTAATATAGTGAGAAGTTCACACACAATGGGACTATTTATTTGTCCAGTGATTGGAATCGGAGTTCTCAGAGACTCAAGTGAAAAGGGAACACTTTCCCTCTTATATGAACTCCTGTAGGAACATTTTAAATTGCCTCAACAGAGAAATGGCAATCTCAGTGGACATTTTAATGAATAATATTGAGAGATAAGAGTGGGGAGTATTATTGAAGAAAAAAAACACGGGAGAGGAAATTATAGGTACGTGCATTTTACCTCTAAAGTACTGACATTTCATTAAACAAAAATCATATTATTATCAGAAGAAAGCAATAAGGAAAAATAATACCAGGGTACAAGCAGATTTGGAAATAACCTTTATTATATGAATGGAAACACTGTTAATAAATTATGACTAAAATTAATTTTACTGTTTTTGAAATCTAATTAGTTTTTACTTTGAGACAAAAAAATATCAGTTCTAGATTCAGCTATGTGCTAATTATCTGTGTAACCTTGGATACATTTCTTAAGCCTACTGGATCAACTGTTTTCTCTTAGAAATTTGGTAGAACTGGACAATTTTCTTCTAGGAATCATTCCAATTTTAACTTTATACTTATATGAGAATTTATAGTTGATCATTCTTTCCCATACATTTTCTCATTTTATCCTCTTACTTGTTTTCTAAGGAAGGTCTTGTAAGCATTATGATCTTCCTTTTATTCATGAAAAAGAAAGCTAAGATAGTTAAGTGACTTACCCCAGCTTGGTATATGGTAGTCCTACGTAATTTTCAAGGTAACTCTCAAAAACAACAAAAACAAGACCAAAAGCTTCACTGAGAATCTGCATATAACAGTATGCAATAGCCTTGAAGTATCCCATTTTTTGCTAGTTCAAAACTAAGCTTAAAAATTTAGGCTTTCTGTGCTAAAACTTAACTTTATAATTTTAAAATGATGTAAACATTTACTGCTAAGAATTTGAGCCAAGGGTAGTCATTGTCAAAGTTATTGGTTGAGAGCTATTATTACCTGCTGTTCAGTCAGACTCATAGCGACCGTATGTACAAGAGAATGAAACCCTGCTGTTCTTGAAATGGTTATGCGTGAGGCTCTCTATTCCGTAAAGATGCACAGTCTCAGAAACCCACAAACACATTTCTACTCTGTCCTAGTGGGTCACTGTTAATCAGAATTGAGTAGATGGCAGGGAGTTTGGATTTTGGTTTGAGTAGTTGCTTGATAAACTGTGTTGAAAAGTATTTTAAGGCCAAGTCCAGTCTCAAGGGGCAAGTGCTGTTTTTAGATTAGTATTTCTGCAGTGGATAAGGAGCCCTTGTGTTGCAATGGCTAGGCACTCAGCTGCTGGTCAAAAGGTGGCTGTTTGAACCCACCCAGCAGTCGTTGGGAGAAGGGATGGGTGATAAAGATCACTGTCTGATCCTGATTCCTCGCAACCCTATAGGACCAGGTAGACCTGCCCCTGTGGGTTTCCAAGACTGTAACTCTTTACAGGAGAAGAAAACTTTCTTTTTCTCCAGTGGAGTGGGTTGTGGTTTCGAACTGATGACATTACAGCTAGCAGCCCAATGAGTAACCACTGTGTCACCAGGGGTCCCAGCCTAGAAAATCCTATGGGGGCAAGTCTCTGTAATGTAAGGCCAATTACAAGTTACAAATCAATGGGGCATCTAAAAACAAAAATACCGCATATACTCAAGTATAAGCCGACCCGAATATCAGCCAAGGCACCTAATTTTACCACAAAAACTGCATTAGAAATGTGCTGAAAAATTAGGCTTATACACAAGTATATACGGTAACCCTAGATGATTAAAAAAAAAAAGTGAATGGTGGAAAAGAGTTTTCTGAGAAATTACTTTAGAATTCAGTTATGTTTCACAAAGAGTCTGATAATGGCTTGCCCTTTATTAAGTTTTGTAATTAGTATCTCCAATTTTTGTCATAAACTTTTTTCAAGTACAAAGGCTTCTTTTTGAAAGTTAGAAGAGTGTCATTTCTAAAGATTGGAGAGTTTCATTTGTTGACCTTTTACCAAGGGAGGGCCATCAAGTTTTCAAATCAATCTGCATCTTGTTAAAACTCCCAACTGCAAGGCATCCAGCTGATAGCCACGCATAGTGCAGCATAGAAGTGCCCCACGGGTCTCCATACTTTCATTGTGAAGGAAGCGGACTCCCCTGTCTTTCTCATGTAGAGCTGCCATCAGCTTTCTTTAGGATGGGGCTTCCAAGAGTTCATGGGAAACTGAGTGATCCTTCGATTATTATTTTTCCATGAAATATTTGAAGTCCCATCTTCCCTAGCTGTGTTTTTACTGTCTTAGTTTAGTTACTCACAGTCGGCCTTGGTCTAGAAATGTTAAATGAGTAGCATGCTGAAGTCTTAGCCATTCTGCTTCATCTTGATAGGGATATTAATTATTATTTTATTTAGTACAGTGCGTCCCAAAGTGAGCAATACTGCTGCGTGGGGGTGCTGGAGGGATCAAGGGCAGGGGGCTACAGAAGCAGATACCTACACTTTATCTTGAAGTATGGGTTCCAGTATAAAAGCTTTTGATTGATAGGTGATGCTGGGTAATTTTTTTTTCCTGAAAAGGGGCAGAAGATCAAATAAGTTTGGGAACCCATAATCTAGCATATTCATGCTGTATATGTTTTTTGACTTATTAGTTATTGTTGTCAGTCTCTTATTATGCCTAATTTATAACTATATTTGATACTAAGTATATATGCATAAGACAAAACATAGGATAGTTTGTGTTTGTTACTATCTGCAATTTCAGATATCCATTCAGGGTTTTGGAATGACTCCTCATGAGTAAGGAGGGATTACTGTATATGATGGAGTGCCCCACCAAAGGTTGCCATGTATTGACTACCTGCTCTTTGTTATTCATTATGATGTATGGTTGTATCCTCTCAGTGCCTGCCCAGCTTTATAATGCCACCTGAGTTAGGCTTAATTATTTGTTATTTGATCAGTGGACAACTGAGCTGTAAGCTGTTTAGTAGTTACACAAGATGATATATCCAAGAAGGTTATATAGCCAGGATTCTCACCAAAATTTGTATGACTTTAAAGTCCTGGCTCTTAACAAAACCTGGCCATATTGTTGAAATCTGAGAGCATAAGTGTTTCTCAGTGACGCTCTGTGTTTACCTGTAGTCGAGGAAAGCACTTGAAGGTTGGTCTTTACATATTATAAAATCATTAGGTGAACCATAGCAACCTTATATACACCCGAATGAACTACTGCCTCATCCTGCCATCCCCATAACAATCATTATGTTTGAGCCAGTAATGTAACTTTTTCCAAAAAGGGAAATCATTATATCCCAATATTTGCCAATGAGTTGTTTATCTGTAGGGTGTAATGTTTCCTTTAACTTGCACTAACCTGAGTTGAGAGAATTTACTTTGACACTAAAACTCCCAAACCCACTCAAGATTTTTTATTGTTTGAGAAATAAATGATAATCGTGTGTGAAGTCTACTCTCAGGGTGCCTACGCACTTATGTTTGGCTAAGGAAAAAGAAAATGTGCAATTGGCAAAGGTGCATTCAATTAGCAGAGGCATGTACTTTGGCGAGATCTTAACTCACTCCATACATGTTGTTGAGACTATCTCTTTCCTCTTTCCAGATTCCTCGGTGTGACTCAGTTTTCACCCACACATGCCAGAAAGGCATTTCCGTGTTTTGATGAACCAATCTACAAGGCTACTTTCAAAATCAGCATCAAGCACCAAGCAACCTATTTATCTTTATCGAATATGCCAGTGGAAACCTCCGTGTTTGAGGAAGATGGATGGGTAACGGATCATTTTTCACAGACCCCTCTAATGTCCACGTATTATTTAGCCTGGGCAATTTGCAACTTTACATACCGAGAAACTACCACCAAGAGTGGGGTCGTTGTAAGTATTTTCAGCTTAATGATGTTTTCGGGTAATGTGATCACTGTGAAGTGAACTGATATCTGCATTAACACTGTGTCATTGCTAATGGTTTTATATTTTAGTTAGCTGAATTTTTAACTCTTGGGCAACAATTATTTTCCTTATTTCAAAGGGTCAGAAAGGAACCCCTCTTCTATACCTGGCCCGCTTATGCTCTGGAACATCTGCTGTCCTTCCGACCCCCCGCTGCTACCCCCGCAAATCTTTGTTTCCCTCATTTCCGTCATTCTCTTGAAGACTTCTAGACTGCTATTATTAGTTTGCAGAAATTACCTGCTTTGATTTCCAGACTGGGATAAACAGCTCCTTTTCAAATTTTGAAATATTTCAAATATAGAACAATTGTGGAAAATGCTATAGTAAATGCCACATACTTACTAGGCAGCTATAAAACTAAACGTTTTCCCTGTAATTCCTTTAGTTTAATGTAGCTTTTGAGAAAGTGAAACGTTGGATCAAGTGAAGCCCTCTCTGTACCTCTCCCTGGTCTCATTTCCTGTCTCTCGTCATTCACGCGCACAGCCGTCCTGCCATTTCTGTGCAGATTATTGTATAATTATTAAGTGTATATAAATACAGACCATGACGTATAACTGTATGTAAGTGGTTTTTCACTATAGACATCATTTTGCAACTTATTTAAATTTAGTTTTTTGCTGAAGATTCTGTTTTTGTGGGTGTTCTGATAGAACAGTTAATTGAATATGGCACAATTTGTTAATTCTTTTGCACCTGAACATTCTATATTTTGAAGTTTCATCTTTAACAATGCTTCAGTGACTCTTTTTATATTTGAGTTCTTCTGACCAAATTCTTGTACTAGAATTTCTGTGAGGTCAGAAAACTTTTTTTCTACTTTGTCTATAAAGTTGTGATGAGTCAGAATCTATAGCAATAGGTTATGGGATTATAAAGCTTCTTTTAGCGTTAACCCCTATCAGTACAGAAATATATTCTTAGTGAAGACTCAGATATAATGATCCTGACTATTGTTTATACTAAGTTTATTGGGGGCCCCAGGCACAATGACTAAGCACATGGCTGCCAAGCTAAAGGATCATGTGGTTTCTAGGGAAAAATACCTGGTTATCTACTCCCATGAAAAGATTATGACCTAGAAAACGGTAAAGCTATTCTATTCTGTCACATGCAGTTGCTATGAGTTGAAAATCATTTTAACAGCATCTAACAATAACACCATGTTTATAATAAAAATCAAATAAAAGCCCTTTGCTGGATATAATTTGTAAAACCATAGAATTTTAAACACTATGCGTGGTGGAACAGTGGGTTAAGTGTTGGGTTACTAACTGCAAGGTGGGAAGTTCATATCCACCAGTCCTTCCATAGGGAAAAGATGAGGCTGTTTGCTTACATAAAGATGTTCTGTCTTGGAATCCCTAGTGGGCAGTTATACTCTGTCCAGTAGGTTTTCTATAACTAAAAATCTACTGGGGATACTCCTAACAAAACGGATATTTTTTTTCCAAAGCTATGTATTAAAATTTTTTTTTTACAAAACAACCTTATCACCTTTAAAGTACTCTCCATTATACTTAGTACATTTATCAAATCTGCTTTCCATTCTTGGAAACATTTTTCAAACTCATGTTTGGACTGACAGCATCATTGTTTTCTTCACTTCTTCCATGTCATCAGATCACTGTCCTTTCGTATCTCTCTCCAGTTACAGAAACAAAAAGAAGTCGCACAGGGTGAGGTCAGGTGAGTAAGGGGTGTGGGGCAAGATAGGCATACTGCTTATTGCAAAAAACTGGTGTACTGAGATGGCTGCCTGAACAGGTGCATTGTCATGGTGGCAAAAAGAGTCCCCCTTCTGCCACAAATCAGGCCCTTTTTGACACACACTCTTAGGCAATCTTTTCGAATCTCTAAATAGAAAGCTTGGTGAACTCTCTGACCTGGTGGAATGAACTCCAAATGCACGATGAGTCAACATTTTCGTCCGTTTGGGACATTGATGGAGGTCCAGAATGAGGTTTGTTGTCAGTCGGCATTTTACCTTTTTTCAAACGAGAAAACCATTTGGACACTTGTGTTTTTCGCATAGCGCTGTTCTTATAAGCTGTGTCCAACGTCACAACAGTTCTGCGGCATTTTTCCAGAGGAGGAAACAAAATTCCACAGCTGTACAATGTTCTCTTAAATCAACCATCACAAAAAAACTTGGTTTGAGTGAAATTACTTGTACAAAAAAATTCACTGTGACAAGAGAGAACCTTCCCAGGGGATACCACTGGGGCACTAACCCAGAGCCAGTTGCTCAAGGTTCGGTCAGCCAGGAAAAATGCATACCAGGAAAGCTCAGCTCCACCAGTGCAATTTCTTTTTTTCTTTTTTCTCTTGGTACCCCGTCATACTCCATGTAGTGGAGTATTTCAATGGATTACACGAAGATATATTATTGTAATTTTCATGTCAGCTCTTAAGTAGAGTGCTATGGTTATGCTTTTCCAAATCGTAAATTAAATTGAAGTTTAGAGCAATTAAGTACCTAGCCTAGAATCAAAAATAAGCAAACCAAAGAGCCATAAGTCAAGTCTCTGTTGGTCCAGTCCCCAATTTTAAGCTTTTCCCTTTGTACCTTAGAAGCTTAACCATTTCACCCATGTGTCTCAGCGAATTCAGGTAGGAATTCTCCCCATCCAGTGATTATCACATTCAGTGTTGTTTGACCACTACAATCGAGGTTGAAATAAATATATATTCTTATTCTGTATACAGCTCGTATCTCTCCAGTAACCTAGATTTTGAATAACTTTAGCTAATAAATTCTAACTAGATAAATTTTCCTTACTGTTACTTTTCATTTTAATCACCGTGAAACCTGTTTAAAAATAAATATGCCTGCAAAGGAAATTAACACCATTATCAAAGAACTATGTATAGTGGCCTAATCTATGTGATCATAAAGTTAATATTCTAAGTGCAGTGGATACTGGCCAGACTTACTACCAAGCCCACTGCCATTGAGTAGATTTTGACTCACAGCGACCCTACGGGGCAGAGCAGAACCGCCCAGGAGGTTTCCAAAGCTGTGCTCTTCATAGAAGCCGACTGCCACATGTTTTCTTTTCACAGAGCAGTTGGTGGGCTTGAACCACTGACTTCTTGCTCTGCAGCAGAGCAGTTTGACCAGTGGACCATCAGGGATTTTATATTGACTATAGAGGAACATGCTATTCTTTTGTATCTATAATCATTTTTTAGAAATTTTTTAGATTTCTTGTGGCCATGTCAAGGCTATACAGGTTAGACCATTTCGTGAAAGGAAATACAAGACATCTCATTTTCCCTTCTGTCTTTAAAAATCGGTGTTTGATTTGATTTGAGTCACTTAGCATGTGGGTCAGGTACTGGAGATGCTGTCTTCTGGCATGTTCCCTTTAAAGCGGTGGTTCTCAACCTTCCTCATGCCGCGACCCTTTCATACAGTTCCTCATGTGGTGGTGAGCCCCAAACCATAACATTATTTTCGTTGCTATTTCATAACCGTGGTTTTGCTACTGTTCTGAATCAGGCAACCCCTGTGAAAGGGTCATTTGACCCCCAAAGGGGTCACAACCCACAGGTTGAGAATGCTGCTATAAAGTATCTTAAAAATGTTCTCAGCCCCACTCAGCTGTACTTGTTGCTAAGGGTTTAAAATCAGACACACTAATTATTTAGATGTGACTGTTTTATGAGTTAAGAATCTAAGTAATTAGTAAACATTTGAAAATTCAACTTCATGATTTTTATGTAGAAAAATAAAATAGCACACTATCAGAGAGCACCAAAAGGTCAATTGGAAAGGCCTTTCAGTTTGTATAATCTAAAAATGCCACGACGAGTCAAAGGGAAAACAAAATTGCCATAGGGAGTTCTTATTTATCAACTGTGGAAATATGATTTCAAAACCAGTCTCGCTTCTTCTGTCACCTTTTGGAAATTCAATCTGTTTTCTTTCTCCTGCCCTTCTTTTTTTATTACTGGAAACAGATAGGAATGACATTTATCAACCCTTACCAGCTGGAAGGAGTGAAAGTTTAGCTGCAGAATCTTGAGTGTAGATTAGTCCTGTGAAATCCAGGTGGCCATTATGGAGCAGAAGAGGAAACTCTCCATTGGGATAAGAGAGATGAAGTTGAGTAGTATCTTTGTAAATCTCAGCTGAATTATAGCAGCGCCTCAAGTTAGCATATTTGAGACATCAGCATTATGCTCATTACTTGATTATGAAGCTACAAGGCACTACCCTAAGTCATCAGAAAGATAAAAAGCAGTCCCAGGTCCCACTAGTAGAGAGCCCGGAAATGCAGCCTTCAGATGGAATCTAAGCCTGCAGACATGATTTGTTTACCTAACCCCCAAATAGCTTCATGGTATTTTTCTGATTAGTTGTAAAAGTTTAGAAATTGAGGGATTACAGAGAAAAGTATTTATTTCTGGCCTGTTTGGAAAATTGGAAAATCTTGTAACCCTGGGCCTGCATTCCAGCTTGGCAGTATTTGTCTTCATTTATTACTTCAACGGCTATTTATTGACTGTCCTCTGTGAGAGTCAGGCAGCTTCATAGGCTCTAGGATATAGAAATAAACAAAGTGAACAAAATCACAAAGTTGGGAAACTTTGATACTACTTAACAGGTAGAGAGGGAGAAAGCAAACAAAGAACAAAGCAGCTTCAAGAAGTTCATGGTTAATGGGATGGAAAGATAGTGGAATGTTTCCATGAACGTTTTCAAGCTTTGTCTGCATAAGGTGGGTGATCTATGCCATGACAACAATCAGTGTGCTGAGAGGTGACTGACCCGTTTATAAGTGACATTTGCTTCCATGTGTAACTTAATCTAGACCACTGTGTTCTTTTGTGCCTAGTCTACTTCACCTTGTTCAATCAGGCAGTTATTTGGGTTCTCAACCCTTGCTTGGGGCATAATTCATCAGGGAGACCAA